AGCAGATGGTTCGTTCAAATTACACGATGCATAGTGAAAACGGACTTGTCGTTAAACAGACATTATTCATCCGTTTTCAAGCCGAAGGATCAACACCTTAGTAAGTGAAACAACACCCGTAAATAGAAACCTTTCGAAATCGATGAGGAATTATTAGAAATACACGAATTGCAAAAATTAGAGAATAAATCAGTAGTCCTGATGGAATACCAGAGAAATACTAAAACTGGGAGGGAAGCCATGATTCCGTACCTTGCGCGCTTAATGGAGGTATACTGTAAATAAATAGCATGGATTCCTCAATAATTGGAAAGATGGCAGTCTGTAGTGTCCGATGTCACTAGGAGAGAGAGAACGGATTTTGTTAAGTACAGGCTTAACGAGATCAGTGTTCGAAACAATGAACTGCGACTAATGTGCGCGCCTATAAGTTGACGGATCAGTACTAGCCGATTGTGGACATATCAAAGTCGGCGGCGTTTTAGATCAGACTTGGACAAAACTGTTGTTCGCTATCAATCAATGCAGCGGTTTTATCGTCTCCGGGTACGTGCACAGCCAGCAATTGCTTTTGTCGGGTACGATAGCAGACTTCAATCTAGACGAAGGAGTCAGGGGTCGACGCTATATAATATTTAGATTTTTTAAGGTCATTTGATCTTCGATCCCACCATACCCTTTTAATTTCCAAATTAGTCGGCAACACGCGGAGAAGCATCATCCGAATTCATCCTGTGGATAATAAGAATTTCTTACGGGGCCACTCAAACAGTCAGAATAGGAGACAAAATATCATCGGAAAGCCGATGTAACCTCGGGGGTCCCCAGGAACGTGTGTTAGGCCTTTGCTTATTCTTAGCGTTTATTAATGACATTGCAACTGGATTTAAAAAATCAAAAGTTAGACTATTTCGCCGACGATTTGCATTAATATATGGCGAGTATGGCTCGTCTGAGAACGAAAATGTTTTTACAGGAGCGATTTAACTGTTTATGGAACTGGGCCTGCAAATAAGAATCGAGATTATAGATCCCGCCGCCATAAAGTGCACCCACACATATTGGCTTTTCCACACAAGGTCACCCAGCTCAAACGCTCACAACATCATTATAGAAATAGGAACTATACGTGTATACGCACGAGCGCGAGTCTCCGCTAAAAATCTGTCGTATTAAGGGATTTGGAGTCCTGCGAAAGCGGACATTGCAAGTTGTCAGGCGCGATCGAATCTACCGAATAAACCTTCTTTGTTTAAATATTGTGTTGGTTTTAATTCACCACGGAGGAACGTTACAATATTACATCTTGCGTAACCCAGGAACAACGACGTGGACATAGTTTTCTGTTCCCTTCGGGGTGCTCAAAATGATGTCCCTGAACCTCAATGCATTTATTGATTCGTCCTACAACTGAACTCGTCGCATAAGCATATCTGGTGTAATCCCAGCACAAGCGACCCTTATTCGTTGCATCATGTTTTCGCGAGTAGTAGGCGTTTCTTTATGAATTAAATATTTTAGGTAGCCCCACAAAAATAAATCTGGCGATTACAGAGCCACCCATCACAAATCAGGAAAAAAAGTTTCAGACAAAACTTATGTATTTTTGTGCGTAGAATCCGAATCTGAAATTAACAAAAATGGTGCTTCCTATTAAAGATTTCAATGTTGCCCACCGCCCCACCCGCTGGGGGCAGGGAGTGCTGCTTTTAGCATAGAATAATTCCCCCTTCAAAACTGTTAAGACTTGGTCTCGACGTATTTTTTTGAGTTATTTCAATTTGTCAAGTTAAATGGGACACCATCTCTCTCTCTCTCTCATATATATATATATATATATATATATATATATATATATATATATATATATATAGAGAGAGAGAGAGAGAGAGAGAGAGAGAGAGAATTTAAAAAATAGTAATAATTTGTTATTAAAATTACTGTGACTGACTACTCTCGCGGCCATTGGGAAGTGCGCAACACTTCTACGCGACTAGCGAATTGCCCGGATCCGTCCAGTTCGGTGGAAGGAGGGGCACCAGCAGATGACGCAATCCGCGCAGCGAATTCCGGCAGGTAATGCGATATTAGTTACAATATTAACATCATTCATCGCACAAACTGGCGATATTTACGACAAGCAATCAATTACTTCAGCGTGAAGAACACTCATTGAATGTTAATCGTCGGCGATCGCCAATGTTTCTTCAAAATTAATGTTAAAGGTCGCGATATACGGCGGCATCGCGTAATACTTCACACTTAAGCTAAAATGATCCCAGTCATAGGGCATTGAGCGATTTGAGTAATTCTCCATTAATGTCCTCACGTCTCTTACACAGAAGTTGTCAGGAGAACCGCCAGGTAGAATCTCTGCGTAAGCACCTCCTACTACGCGCTACTGCGTCACTGCACAGCGACCAGAAATTCTGGCCCAGAATTGGGAAGAAATTAGGATTGGGGTAGGGTTTAGGACACTTTACAGGGACACTAACTTTTTCTTCTCTCTCCTAATTCGACCCTTTGAATATTGAAGCTAACAATTTCTTTCTCAATGCAATCTGTTGCTAAAATCATTGTCGAGTGTTGATCAAATCATTGTTAATGCAAATCATTTGTATCTAAACTTTTTGCATGGATAGAGCACAATACACATAATTTTAACGTCCAAAAACTATTTCCATTTAAACTATCGAATTTTCAAAAATGAAAAGTATACTTTTAATGTAAAAAGTACCATTTATACGACATAAAAATCGATGAAATCAGCACAAATATCCTTTAAAAATTATGGAAAAAACTAAAAAATGACTTAGAAATCACTAAAAAAATGCAAATAAACAAAGTCAAAAATGGGCCATTTCCTTTTATCATAACATAAAATTAATGTCCATACTTATAAGACATTGTTCTAAAGTGAAAAGAAAAAGAATGCCATATCATTAAAATCCACCCCTCTAGTTATAACATACGATACGATTCGAATGTAACTGTTCCCAATAATAGAAGAAAACAATGACTACATTGTTTCACATTTAATTAGTAATGAGCAAATCAAGAACTATAGGATACTCATTTTTTTGTGAAATGTTAGAAAATAATGTTATGAACAAAAGACAAAAAAATAAGATTTTTCATGTTAAAGCCAATTTAAATTTCCAAATTCGCTGAAATTTTGCAGAGCTCTCTCTCTTTTTTTTCATCCTCTTGGTCTACAGGCAGGTTTCAGGAAAATTTTGACTTTCATATTTTAAAGGCCACCCCACTATTGATACATTTTCCATAATAAATGTTATACTCACTCTAGATATAAGTATGAAAATATGAAAAGAAGCATTAGTGATGATGCGATGAGCCAGCCGTGAATAATCTGAAGAAAACAAAATCATCTGTTTGAGCTGGACATTTCCACAAAAATGCATCACACAAAAGTCACCAAGAAAGATTTCTTCAGTAACAGAGTAAAGATTTGCTGAAAACATATGGTCAAGTTACTATGTTACTTCTCTTGACATTTGTAACATTATTTTACTGCTTTCAAATTCCTCTTCATTTCTTAATCTGCTTTAACAGTTACAGATCATCACTATTTACCGAGATTTGTGGGTTCTATTCTCACTGAGATAAGAGAATAGAAAAGTCCTAGTAACCAAGGTTCCTTAGGTGAGAACTCAAAAATGTTCAAATAATCCAAAAACTGAATTACTCAAAACACAATGTGTAAAAAATATGAATTTAAATAAACACAATTTACTATGAAAGTTATTGTTTTGTTAACTTTGATGTTCGTGATTCATCAAAAATTAATACACAATGAATTTGGTAAAGTGAATGAACACCTTTAGAAGCTTATATCAGGGGTCTCCAAACTATACACCACAGGCTATATCCAGCCCTCAGCAGTATGTGAGGACGAACCCAAAGTATATTTTAATTCAATTAAATTGTGATACATGCTGTAACATTTTATTGCAAGAAATAATCTGTTTTCCTATTAACACACACTCTGGTCCACATACCGCCATTTGAGATATTTTAATAATAGGTAAAATAAAAATAAACTTTTTGTTAGAATTTAAAAAACAATTTCATTGCTAAGGTTAGTTTTAAAAATATTGATTATTTCTGTGATTTAGTAAAGAAGTATTATATTAAATGTTAAAATTATAAAATTCTAGCTCTCGGCGAGTATTATTTGTTACAAATATTATGTCAGAATCATGTGCTTATATGTCCATATGTGTTTTAATGTGTGAATTAATAATCACATTGATTTTGTTAGTCTTTAATCAAAATTTAATTTAACAATTAGGTAATAAATTACCTCCTGTAATGAAATTTAATAAATCTTGTCGTAAAAAAGAGACTCATTTCCTTTCATCATAACATGAATTTAATGTCAGCACTAAAAATTGAGACAGAGAAAAGAGAGAGAGAGACAGAGAGACAAGAGAGAAAAAAGAGAGAGAGAGACAGAGAGACACCCCGCAAAAAAGAGAAATCCCAAAAAAAACATGCTTTCACCAACTTTCCTTTTTTTTGCTCCTTTGGCAAACTTATTGGGACAACTTTTCAAGGAAATTTAGTGTGTCCTGGTGTGTAACAATTAAACCATGTTCTCACAACGCCTTTCAATAACAGCCAAACACCCCCTTTTCGTCGCAATGCATAAAAAAAGCCGACATTTATGTCTCTCCGCCATTCTTCGCACAGAACACTTCGCACCTCCAAGACTGGGAGGCGTGCAAGAAAAAACTCCACAGAGCCTGTACGACAGCAATGTAGCTGACACCACTTTTGGCACCAGCTACCCCGGACAGAACAAAATAACTTAATGCATTGGCATCGACCAATGTAATGGATAATGCTCCGACAAGTACTACGGTGAATTGGCACACTCCCCTCTCTAACTTTCGGACGAAATGTACGATATGTGAAACCAATAATTAACACTATTAAAATTATTTCAGAAGTGTATTTTTTTTAACAAGTTTAATTAAAGTTGGGCCTACGCATGTTGCTCCACGCACTCTCCCCACCAAAGATTCCCCTCATTAATCCCTTAATACTCTCGTTCTCCTCCACTGCCTATTCCCCTTCGCCGGAGTGGCATGAGTGCCGGTTTAAAACGACTGCTTAAAGGTTGTACATATACTAGAATTTTTAGTCAGAACGTTTTTGCCAGTTAGAAAACACTCATTCATATGTTATATAGGTCAACAAATTTCGGGTGGTCCCATGGAATTGGGATTCAATAACAAAGGCATATTGACAGATGATAAACTTATGCGTGTCCCATAATTTCTTGAGTAAATGTAATACCGTTTCCTTGGAAGTGCTTGTGCAGGTTCGGAGGGTCAAAGTAGGGCGTACTATATTAATAAATGTGTGTATGTATATATATAGTATTTTTTTTTAAGAAGTGTTATCGGTAAGATTTAATAATAATCTTTTGCGTTCATTACAATCGGTATTAATAGTCCTTAAATTAAGATTTAAAAAAATGTTTTTTATTCCATAATTTTTATTTTACTGTCCACCATTTTAGAATTTTTTACTATAATTCCATTTAAAGATGAACTGTTATATATGGTAACATATTGAAATTAATACAAATCACAAAAGATATTGAGAAGCCACAAAATTACCTGAAAAAAAACAGGGCATGCCTTTTAATGAACTCTTATCTTCGTTAATTTTATTTCATGCCAAAATTTCAACGACTTCTTGGAACGTGAATATTACTGAACATTCTCTCGTGTCGCTATCTTTCTTTGTTCTGCTCCTCTTTCTCTCTCCTGTCCTCTCTCTTTGGTCTCTTCTCTTTCTTTTGTCTCTTCTCTCTATTTGTCGCTCTTCTCTCTCCGTTTGTCTCGTTCTCTCTCTTTGTCCTCTTTCTCTCTCTCTGTCTCTTCTCATCCTTTTCTTCTCATTTGTCACGCTCTTTCTCTTCTCTCTTTGTCTCTTTCTCGTCTCTCTTGTTCTTTTCTTCTCTCTGTCTCTCTTTCTCTCTCTCTGTCTCTATTTCTCGTCTTTTGGTCTCATCTTTCTCTCTGGTCTCTCTCTTTCTCTCTGTCTCTCTCTTCTCATCTCGTTCTCTCTCCTCTCTCGTCTCTCTCTCCTCTCTCGTCTTCTCTCCTCTCGTCTCTCTCTCCTCTCGTCTCTCTCCTCTCGTCCTCTCTCTGCCTCGTCGTCTGCTCTCTCCCTCTCGTCTCTTTCTCTCGTCGTCTCTTCTCTCTCTCTCTCTCTCTCTCGCTCTCTCTCTCCTCTTCTCTTCTCCTCTCTCTCTCTCTCTCTCTCTCTCTCGTCTCTCTTCTCTCTCTCTCTCCTCTCTCTCTCTCTCTTCTCTCTCTTTCTCTCTCTCATCTCTTGTCTCGTCTCTCTCTCTCTTCTCTGCTCTCTCTCTCGTCTCTCTGTCTCTCTCTTCTCTCTCTCTCTTGCCTCTCTCTCTTCTCTCTCTTGTTCTCTCTCTCTTCTCTCTCTCTCTCTTTCTCTCTCTCTCTCTCTTTCTCTCTTTCTTCTCTCTCCTCTCTCCTCTCTCTCTCTCTCTCTCCTCTCTCTCTCTTCTCTCTTCTCTCTCTCTTTCCTCCTTTCCCTCTCTTTCCTCTCTCTCTTTCTCTCTCTCTCTCTCTCTTCTCTCTCTCTCTCTCTCTCTTCTCTCTTGTTCTTTCGTCGTTTTCTCTCATTGTTCTCTCTCTGTTTCTCATCTTGTCTCTCTCTCTCTTTCTCTCTTGTCTCTCCCTCTTTCTCTCTCCCTCTTGTCTTCTCTACACACGCCCATCTTTTTCTCTTTTCTCTCTTGTCTCTCTCTCTCTCTTTCTCTCTTGTCTCTTCTTCTCCTCTTTCTCTCTTGTCTCTCACTCTCTCTTTCTTCCTCTTGTTCTCCTCTCTCTTTCTCTATTGTCTCTCTCTCT